CGAAGTAATTATTTTTTGTGTATCATAGTTTCAAAATTAGCTTCATTGTAAATCAACTGCGAAAATACTCATTTGGTAGTCATCAGTGGTCGCTTTGTAATTGGTGAGCTGAGGATAATCATTGCTGGTTAACAATTGAATTCAGGATGAATATGTGTCTTCGCCTAATGTGTTGGTACTCGTTCGCGGAACAGAACCTAAGGAATGATGATTTTATGTCTAAAGCCATAGACAAAACAGTCTGTGTGACAGTTAACTCTCACTTGGATTTCTATAAATGAAATGGTTTCTTGTCTGGAATTGATCAGTGGTCTCTCTCAAATTGTCTCTAGCTAAACCCTTCTAAATGTCAGACTGTTAATTTTAGCCTGAGGTGTAAAGAAGACTTGTATGAACTGCTTAAGTCCCATGACTTCTGTTGTATTGATGGTATTTCTGCGGAAAGTAAATCGAGTGTTAACTATTTTGGATTGTGGTTTACTTCTGATCTTTGTTGGTCGTCTCATATATTATTAACTTAAAAAAATTCTTTCGTATAGCGTATTACATAAAGAAACTGAGGCTGTCTGGTATAACTCAATCTCTACTTTTATAATGTATTAATTCCTTCATTTTACCTATTCTTCACAGCTCTCCCCTTGTATCTTCTCAGGGAGGACAAAAAGAAATTAAGTATGACTGTACACTCCTACAGCCAGATACAAGAATTCGAATTACCTAGCACGCATCTGATATGATGAAAAAAGTGTTAGAACAAAACACACTTATCAACTTTGCAATAATAGATAATCAGTTTTTCCAATATTTTAACTAACAATGTAAAATTTTCCTCGTTACTAATATTCTTCACATAACTCAAATTGTTATATTTACATTATTCAGAATGTTGTATTGAAGTATATACATATATTTTTGTTGCAATATAACCTGCTGAAAATTCCAAAATGTGCCGAAATTTGTTCGGAATAAAGTGATTATTATTAGATGCTTAGTGTCTCAGTAGGCACTTAACCCTCAGTCAGTGTTCAAACCTATGCCTCATTGCTGAGTTGCACAGTGGTTACACTGATTTACACTGATGCGAAATTTTACGTTTTTGTGATTAAATTTCAGCAATGCTCGTAACATTTTTAGGTATCTATCTGCTATTAAAATGATGGATCATGATATGAATGCGAATATATCAGTTTTTGCTTTCTCATTGAATGATTCATTCTTCATTCTGGTTATCTACTTACCGTGGCACACTATTTAGTTTCACCGCTACAGAAAAAAAAACATTGGTTTCACTCTTTTTCATTTCGGTTTATTCTAGTCTTTACTTTTCAAGTGCTGCCATCTTATTATTTCAATCCACTTGGCGATGCTCTTCAACAATTACCTTTCTGTCTTACATTGACGACAAGCTACATTGTATTTCGACTACCTATAGTTGGTATCAAACGTTACGTAATCATACTTGGTATCGTAACAGTCTCTAGTCTTCATCTTCATTTGTGGGTCGACATACTTTTTGTATTTTGTGCTAAGAGAGTAAAAGTGAATGGTAGGCATATTTCTTTAACCATGATTATGCGACATTGTTCTGAACTGAGTTATCAGTGCATGCATGCACCTTGTTACGTTCTGTATTGGTAGTCAGTGAGGTGAATCACTCCAGCTATCCTTTATATATATAATCAACATGCTTCTTAAAGTAAGCTTAAATAATCGCATGTATAGTGATGTCGTCCACTATTGTTGTACATATTAGAGAGAGGGAGACAGAAAGAACAAATGAATAGTGTGTCGATGTGGGTTTACTTTAAGATGGAGTTTTATTTCTATTAGTCATGTCCTCTTACTGTATTTTTATATGTTTGAGTATGTTTGGCTATATAAACTTTATGTATCCTGTTCTATGTGCTTTACATCTAAGTGGATGATTTCTGCGGTCGATAGTTTTATTTGATTTTTATCATGCTTGTTTATTTTATTTATTATGCTTTCATCTATTCTTCAACTTTGATTTCTTTTTTGTTTCACAATATAATGGAATGAAAACACACATATACTTATTTGTTTCTCTGTGAAAAAAAACTTAATTGAAAATTTGAAATGGACTCAGCAACCTTGTGCACATTCATGCAGTAGGTGATGAGCCACACCTATCGTGTGAGGTTTAATAACAATACTAACTGGCTGTCCAAACCTTGGTAGCTGGATTGAGGCTCAAATCCATGACCCATTGGTTAACAGTCATCTGCTTGAACCAGTGAGCCACAGCTCTACTGGCTTCTTTGTAAATACAATCTATCGATGATGGTTTTTCTGAACATTTACAGAAAACCACACTGAAATAGACTTCGTATAGAGACTAGTGGTAGATACGAGTGGGCCGCAGAGTGGTAACAAATTTCGCATTTCGCATTTCATGCCATATAAGTTAATCTAGAGTCTAATGATCAAGTATGAAATGTATGCTTCAGACTGAATGATACGAATGCATTACAATATTTGATGTTATGTATTTGAAGTCCTTTGTGAGAGGGTTATGAATCTACATGTACTTGTTGGCGGTCATCAACTATATGCTTCTGTAACATTGAAGGATCCAATGTTGTGTCGGAGATTTGATCCTTCATCTTTATGCTAAAGTGGAAGAACTTACTATTAAGCTATTCAGAACATATTTGACCCCTGTTTTGTTTACATACACTTGATGTACTTTAATTCTTTATATTAATATTTCGGTTTGTGAGTTTATATACTGTTGAACCTTATTATAATAAATGAGGTTAACATCTCAAGAACATTTTACATTAACCATGCATAATGTTTGAAGGCAGTTGGTGCTAACTCAGAAATCTAGTTTTATTATTTGATGTCGCAATCTGAGAAAGTCCATAGTCATCTTGGGACTCATTTTTTCTTCCTTCACCTCTGTGACTAAAGACACTATCTCAAGTGTCTTTTTTTATTGCTATAAAGCCACATAATAGTACGAGAATATGTTGAATGTGTGTTCTGCGTATTGAATGCAAAATGACTCACTTAGAAATTATTTACCTTTTCATTTGGTTTGATTGTAAGTATTAGAGCACATTGTTGAGCACATTCATGGTTCTATTATCGTAGGAATTGTGATCAGACAAATCCTAGTAAATTTATAGAGATCACTGCTGACATTTGTCCATCTACATCACCTATAATGCTATTCAAGTATGCAACTGTCTGTCAAAGGTTGGTTATGCTGTGCAGCGAATCCTTTCATTCGACTACCCGCCTACAAAATATTTTCATTGAAAGTAGGGAATAAGAGTTGTTATTGTCAGAAACCACTAAGTAAGCTCCGCTGAGGTCTTCCGCAGACTATTATTCAAAGAAGTTAATCCAGTCGAATTTGTATCGACTACATTGGTTGAAATAGTCAACAGGTCAGTCGACTATCTACTTCGAAACTTGCCGCTGAAGTGAACGCGGAATACAAAAAAGCAGTTTCGGGGTGACTAAATGAAAATATAATGTAGACGCATGATTATGTTTCTCATCTGGAGTTAATTCGTTCATATATAACAACATCAAAAACGATCTTACTCATGCGGATATTCATTATTCTCTTATCATTCCCCCGTACTACTCTTTATCCTTTTCGTGAATTCCACTATTTTCTCTCTATTCTGATTTTAGTCTGTCTCTGAAGTTGAAAATATCACAGTATAAATCTCGACTCTGTTCATCCTAGTAGTAGGTTTTCAGTTGCGAGGTGTGAGTTTGCATTTTGTCTGTTTCATGCGTTTGATTTTGAGTAGCTTGCAAGTACGATATCAGTTGTGTAAATTACTTCCGTTCACTCTCAGTCTTTTACGGATGGTTTTCATATATGATGAATTCCACTTTAAAATATCTGTATGCTATGGTATACAGCTCTGTACGTAATTCAAATGGCTTCTTTCTTCAAAAAAGTCCATGAAGGCCATAACTTCTGATTTGAGCAGTGTGGGAAGATGTGAACTACCTTTCCGGCTTGGGCATACGAAACGAAAAGAATCAATGGTCGAAATGGCTGAAAATTGGTCACAATGGACCAAATGTAAACACTCCTTGACGTCTTCTAAAGCCTGAATATTTGCGCTAACCGTTCTTTTCAAATTGTTCCTTCGCTCATACAACTTTGTGTACTTTGAAATCAGTCTTTCCTATTCAATGCAATGTGTCAACTTGAACAGATACACTTGTGTGTGAGGTCCTATGTTGATTTTGTCTGTCTGTCTTTCTTCGAAATACGCTTCAATATCAACCTTCAAGAATGTGCTGTTATTTGAAAATCACTAAAATAAACTTTTAAATAAGTGTCTAGATACAGACTCGATAATATCATTGCACAACACTTAATCATATTTTAAGTAGTTCAACACAACTCTGTAGAATACTATGGTGACTTTCTGTTTGCGTAGATTTTTGTGTGTAATTTAACAGCTACTGACTATTATTATTATAATTAGAAAGTAGTATATTCTACACCTTAAGTTTCCACGTTTTCAGCTTTTGAATACTGATGCAATGGAGGGTTTTAATAGAATCTATTTCGGTATTTGTCGGTTGAATTTGTTTCACTCCATGTTTATTCTAATCATACAATTATTATTTGAGATGTCTACCCATCTAGCTTTTAGAGAGGTGACTTTCAACCGATGGGTTACTGGTTCAAGTTTCGCTCCACCTACTGAGGTTTGTACAGACAGATAGTATCATTATCCCTCACAAAAAAGATGTGGCTCATTGCCTAATTCACAAATGTGCGCAAGGTTGAAGAGTGCATTTCGATTTTCGATCAAGCTTTTACATCACAATAACTATGTGTTTTTCAACAGATGAAGAGTATTCATAATTTTGTTGAAAGTTCATAATGTCATTGTTACTGCATTTATATTAGTACGGTACTAAATATTTACTGTTACCATTCCTCTTATTCTCGCTACTATCTTTTACGTTGTTTTCCTTTTGAAAAAAAATCAAAGCTTGGCTGCCTTGAATGGCGTTCACGTGCACCTATCCGACAGACTAGTCTTGGATCATGTAACCGAATGAACAACATAGAACAACCTGGTTCACACTATTGTATTGTACACACTGAAGAGGATTCCATCTACACCAATGAAGAGTCATCCAAATTAAAAGTTAAACATTTTAGACCGAAATATAAGTCCGGTGCTGATAACCTTTTACAACGTCTACGTAAGCGATCTTTTTCACGTGATAAAAATAAGCGTGACAACAGCAGAACGCGATCTGTCAATAGCAACAACATCAATAACCGATCTTCTTCAGCGCCTCGCTCTGTCTATTCCTATGAAAGTCGTACGGAATCTGAATTAAATCACTGTTATATTAATGATGGTGGTAATAATTACTCCTTATTACAAATGAATAAATGTACTAACTTATCTGTACCAAATTTAACTCCGAAAATCGTATTGTCAAGAAGCGTTCCTGAACTGAAGGGCAATAACTGTAATGTAAGTATTTTTTATTTCTTATATTTGAATACATTTCTTCCCAATTCCTCTCAATTTCTATTGAAGTGATATTCGACCGTCTATTGAGGGTTGACGGTACTGCACATCGATTCATTCTGTCCTGGTTGTGAAAGTGGCTATTGAAGGTGAGGGAACATAAACAGGCTTCAGGTGTTCAACCACCATTGCCTTTTTAGCATTGTTTGTATGTTGTAGGGCCACCACACTAGTAGCTTAGAAGTCAGATATGAATTCCGAAGTTAAAAAGGTAATCAGTTAATGCAATTGCCAACACTCACTGACTGAGGTTCTTGGATCATGCCTCCTCAAAATTTACCTCAACACACCATGCCACCTGAAATAGTGTTACGTTGCAAATAAACTATGTGTGGCCAGACCAAAACATGACATCATTTCATGAAAGCTGTGACTACTGGTCTGAGCTCCATTGGGGAATTTAGACTTCCTGGCTGAGCTCGATGTGAAAACTAATACCGATCATTACAGCGTTAAGGGATGTGGCTTAGAGTCTAAAGTAATTGCGCAAGGGCATGTAGATATTACCTTCAACCCGAAAATTATTTCATATCTTGTTGTCCTCTTCTTTTCTCTTTCCTCTCCTCTTTTGGTGTTGTAAAACTTTTGGTCTAATGATTTCTACTTATCTGGTTTTCATCTTATCTTCTTGCACTTTAGTGTATTGACGCTGGACGCTTTTAGTCTAACTGTTAAGTAGTAATGCAAGGTCTCGCGTTCATATTAACTCACTCCAGTTGATATTCAAGAGGTCAAACAATTCGATCCAACAAAACAACGGAGAAATAACAAGTATGTCAATAAATAGTAGTAATAACTATCACCCGTTGTACGAGAAATGCCTATCGTTCCTCCGTCGTGTAGTGGATAACACCTTGGCGTTTGAAGCGATGGGTACGAGGTTCGAGTTTCAGTGGGAACAACATCACTGGGGTGCAGGTACATCCAGCTGACGAGTCCCAAATAGGACTAGCCACAACCAACCAATTTATCATAGTTATTTATTTGACTACAATTTTCGGTATGGCATATTGTCCTATTGCAACTTGTCCCAACCAATAGCTAAAATCTTGTAATTTCACGCTTCTCTGTGACTAAAAATCGGTTTAACTTGCACATTGACACTTTCGGGATCCCAGCGGAACGAAAAGATAACGATGATCGCCTGTTACAACTATGCTCAGACAATCTTCCTTCTCTCGCCAGTGTAAACTTCAGACATAAAGGGAGGCATTGTCCATCGACTCCAGCTCAGTGGTGGAAACCGATAGGCCATATAGCTATCGTTCGTAGCTAGATAGGGTCGGTGTAAGATTTTCTCTCCTTCTGGAGATTGTGTTTGGATAGCGACTATGCGTTGATTCGAGCACCTGTATATCTACGCGTAAATAGACGCAGAAGAACAGCAGCGACAAAACCATTGGGAGTGCACTTTGATTATGAGAATATTAAGATAGGTGTAAAACTTGGACACTGTAGAATTTAATTCCATATTAGATTTGCTTGTTTGATTTATAACACAGTGATATAGTATTACTTACTTCATGACGTTTCGAGCATTATTGCTCATAATCATATTAATGAAATCACGCTACTATCGACATCTAATTTTTATAGTCCTGTCACGTCTTATTCATTGTTTATAATTGGTAGTTAAATTTTTTTACATCTCTGGTGTAGGTGTTGCGTCATTCCTATTACATGTGTTGGGTGTAGATTCGATGAACAAAGATTCAGTGATAAATCTATCTTCACCTAATTATAATGGACTTAGGTACAGTAGTTTTTTCTCACCCTATTGTATGGTTGTGTGTTAATGCATGCATAGCAATAGCCGAGTCTTTTCTAGTTTATTGATCTTATTGAGATTTGTCTTTCTGTATTTAGCTAAATTCCTATCTTCCGATAATCTAACTGATCCCGATCGGCTAATCTGACCTATGTACTTAACCTCATAGTCATTGCATAAAATTTGGTAGGTTAGATTTTTTTGCTTAATTGGTTCTATCGGATCCTTAAGCCGACAAAGTGTATCTCTGAGTGAGTTTGTAGGTTTAAATGCCACCCTAATTCCAACCTTATTGAGGATTCTACGTAAAGTTTTTGATGTATCCTCCCTATAAGGTAACATAATGGAGGCTATGAACTCCTTTCTACTTGTGTTGTGAAGAGAATATTCAGAGTTATTTCAGTGAGAAAACTGACTAGATAGTTGTGGTGAAAAAGCAACATCACTCGTACAGAAGAAGCGTGATGACATCTCTAGTCTTTTGCTGAATACCGCTTGTGACCAGTGTCTGTCATTGAAAGGGGTACTGGTCAAATATATGACCAGGAATGCTCTGTACTCGAACAGATGTGAAGTAGGTTCAGCTTGAAAAATGTTGGAGATGGCCAGACTGAAACATTTCACTGGTTTATGAAGTCTTCGATTGTTGGTTTGAGTCATGCTGGGAAATGTAGACTTTCTGGGTGAGGTCCGGGTGACAATAGAAATGGTGGTTGGAGAATCTAAGTGATATGCCTCAGAATCAATCTCAGTGGCATAGATTTATCTACACATCATTTTCATCTCAATCCTGATGTGGAATTTCGATGCTCGCTCATTCTCCCTTGCTCTTTTTGGTGGCTTTCTACCACTTTTGTTTCCTCTCTCCTTTATTTTGTTCATTTTTCTTGTCAGCTCATTCTTACTTGATGTGCTAATCTGAGGTGTGGCACCTGGACCGTTGCAAAGTGATATCAAAGTCATGTGTTGTTATTGTCTGTCTGTCTCTCCCTCTCTCTCTGTATAGCACCCATTCAGGGCTTAAATTCGAAAACTTATGCTTTAAGAGCTATAGATTTAAGCACTTGAATATTGAGGTCGTTTATTTTGGTGTACTCTGCATGTTCTCTCTCTTCCAACGAATCCTATGTCGGAAATCACGAGATAAATATTAAGAGTAATTTGATAGTTGCTGGAATAAAACGATCTATTCTACTGTTATAATACAGTAGTAGAGTGCTTGATCGTGTTAATTAGTTATATATGCTGATGCGTCACATTTTTACATGCGATCCCCTGAAAATAAAACGTCTTACTGCTTCTCATCGATGTAAGACCAGTTATAATCCGGGAGTAGTTATGTATCATTGGTATCATAGGAATATTGATAAGCCACTCTTAAATGTAGCTGTTTCCATCTTCTTATATGGTCAGTATGTTTTTGTTTTTTGCATTCTTTTGCACAACAGATCGACAAAAGCTTAACTGATATTATTACTCTTTTGTGGAGCGTATTTATTAACCCTCTACTATGCGTTTAATTTGTTATTATATGCGTACAAACATGACAATAAATGATAAAAGTAGATATAAAGTGTGTATTCGTTGTGGCGATTGTGAATTTTCAACTGAAACTAATCAATGAGTCTTTTTATGCAAACCGACAACTCAATTATTTCAGTTCTGGTGCCTAAAGTTTTTGCATCTTTCTGTAGTGTCAGTAGGCCACCTTGTTTTATTCAATTGATTATGCTTTGTAACAAATCACGCATGGCACAATTAGTTTATGTGCGTGCTAGTAGTTGCTGCTGCTTGTTCTAACTTGTCAAAAATCTTTTCAGTATTTAATGGTAATATAAAGTCCTCAAATGTTGGTTGAATTGTGCACAAATGATTCATAGTAAACTCGTAGAAAGTAATGCTCATAGACACTTAAAATATCTTTCACCTTATTCATAGTTTAAAGTCATTGAAATCTGCACTTTTGGAACAATCTTCGTATGTTCATAAGAGTAAGGTTGAGCAACGGAGTGTAATGAAGGAAAACACTTATAAAAGTGAATTTAGTGACATGTAAACTTTCAGAATATTTGTTGTTTCTATTGGTTAAATTTCTTATGATAAATTGAAGGCACTACTTGATGGTGTTATGGTGTGGAGTTGTGAGAACGAACGATAGTAATTAATGATTGAGAGTCGAGGTTGAGACGATTCAACCCGAGTGGTTCTCAGAGGTGAATGACAAGACTGGAAATCAGCTGAGTTTATAGTATCCAGACTGAAAATGTTTATTAGTGAAAACGGACCTTATTTATAGAGTTTACATTAACCTTGAAAGACAAGGGATAATTAATACATTTAAAGAGTCAGGAACCCGTCGGAACGCTAGCTATTCATACGAATTGTCACTCATGTGCATGAAAAAGAGCGCGAAGTAAACCAGTTACAAATGTACAAACTGTAAGTATTGACAAGTAGGGAAATAGGCATCTCTATGCATATTGCAGTAAACTAACACGATTTAAGTATTATAGTGGTGAAATTAAATATCTTAAGCTAGTAATATAATACATACGAATTATTTTCAAGGTGAGAAATGCACCGCTTTTTGTATTTATTCTTCATGGGTTTTCTATAATTTAGATTGACTGACCGTTCATATGAACCAACCTTTCTAGTTTCGTGACTAAATCCACTTAACATCTACCATCTATGAGTTTGTTATGAGTCGATAAGAGTATACAACTACTGACCGCACTCCAAAGATTCATGACTACCATTCAGCATATAAATCGATTCGATCTAGTTAATCACTGTAACAGAGTAAGTAGTAAGTGTGAGTAGTTTGTCGCTGTTTAGCCTAGTTGGTATTTACACTGTCTATTCTTGAAAACTGAACTTTTTTTTGGTTGAATTTCATAAGTTTGGTTATCGTGAAAACTATTACATTTTATTATAATTTTACAGGGTCTGTTATTTCCTATTAACCACTTTCATTTTCTTGTTAAAATGCAAGTCACTTTGTGTTCACATTCAAGTTTTGAATAGCAAGAAAATAACAACGCTTGACAAGTAAGCCTGCTTTCAATAACTCCACATCAAATCCCTCAAATCTCATAGTACTTTTCAGACCACTAACCATGAAGTTCGTTTGGTAACCATGTGTTCAACAACAGAGTAGAAACAATTAAGAATATTATTATTTGTTGATACACTTTTAATTCTCCGACCTCTGTTGGCATATGGGCTCCTATGGGGATGCCAAGTCAAATATAACAATAAACACCCAGGCAATATCGAGGCCTAATAATTATTAATACCCGTCATACAAGAAGTGACTGTCGTGCCTCAGT